CGGTGCTTAGGGACTTAGGGACATGGTTTAGTGGGCATGGTGGTGTTGGGTTGACGGTTGGACTCGATGATCTTAGAGGTCTTTTCCAACCTTAGTGATTCTATGATTCTATGATCTATATACTCTGAATCTGAATGATGAGAGGAAAACTGGAACTCCTGACTCCCTCTCCGTGGGGTTAAGAAGCAACCCTCCCACGATTTCCATGACTTCATGAGGATTGTTGGGTGAGAGCGTGTCCACTTTTTCTGATTGGTAGCATAACCTCAAAATTCATGAGCCCAATCTGCTCTGCTATGTTGTATGGTTCCCACCATCTTCTGAAAGGAAAAGATTTCCATTCCAGTGTTTAAACACTCCCATGTGAGCTCCTCTGCTGTGAAGCCATTTCTGTGCCTGTTTGGCATTAGAGAAGTTCTCTTGTGTTGGAGTATGAGTGCTTGACACTCTTCTGGATTTGTTACATGAATTGTACTACATGCCAAAGACATCATACATGTGATGTACATCTTCGTGAAATCCTTTAACATTTTTCTGAATATTGAACAGTACATCTCCAATGGCTGTTCATTTGCCTATAAAACAAAGAGGTTTTAATATTTAGCAGATTATTTAAGCCTCTCACCAGCTGTGACATGAAAATGGTCCTGTTGTAAATTAGGATCTAGGCTGGCAAAGATCTTTATTAGCTGGGACACAACAATCTGAGCAGTAGTAGAGAATAGTGTGGTGGACTATGAATACCATGTGGCTTAATGCTCCATTACTGGAATAATATCTCTACACAGTGCACTGTTCCTCAAGGGTGTGACCAGGACTGGCCCCATTGATTCCAAGGGACAGTCCTGCGAAGGGAAAGACAGTACAGAAACTTTCAAAATCTTGATAGGAGATCAGCTCTCAACATGGGGCACAAAAGTTATTGGGCTTTCCTGTAAATAGCAGGATCAGAAATAGTGGCTCTCTCCTGACACAAATTTCTTATAGCTTGCCATGATTTTCTGACCAAGAGTGGCCAAGAGACACAGTAGCTTCTAGGCCTTCTGAGGACATTTTTGTGACTGCAGTTTGGTCTCTCAGATGTCACTGTGCTCACCTAGTTGTCTGCTGGAGATGAAAGTCAGTTACCACAGCATTCTGTAGGCAGTTGGTGGTAACCTCAGCAGCCAAGTAACTTCTTAGCCTCCCAGGAGCAGCAAAGATCTCTACTCAGTGCTTAGGCAAGCAATCATTCTGGCTGCAAATACATGAACAAACTGCCCCACCAGGTTAAGTGTCTTGCTGCACTACGTGGAAAGCTGGCTCATGATGACAGTCAAGCCATTCAAAATGGCCATGCTAACCTGGACACCTTCAGCCCCTGGAATACAGTGTACGTTGTCTCGGTTAAATGCGGAATGAATGAGATGGCTTTTTGTTCAGGAAGCCTTTTTTGCTTGCCAAGCAACTTCCTTGAACATAGCCAAGAAAGCTGATCCTCTTTGACCCATCTCTGTAAATCTTACTAGCAATATGGAGAAGGCAGAATGGGACTTACAGCCTTAGCAGTGAAGGGAAATCAGAAATTCGTAACGTGGATGCTGATGCTACTGCTCTTGATGTTCTGCCAGTCCTGAATCAGTCATTGTTATTCTGCCTGTTATTTACGTTAACCCTTCACGTAAATTCATGTTGCCATCACATAATCAATCTGTCTTGTCAAGGGTTGAGAGAATCATCACTTCAGATCACTAAGACACTTGGGCCTTCTCTTCCACAGGACCCAGACGGTGCTCCACATTTTCCCTCACATGTGGTCCTGCTGTTTCTGGACTAGTTCGTAGATCTTTGTGAGGTACTAACCAGACTAGGCTCTTCTCCTCTAACTTCTTTTTCCTAGTCAGATGCTTGCGGACATGAGGATGGGGCTGGCTGAGCACACAGAAGACTGGTACCCTTTCCTAGCTACTGTAGGGTTTTATACACATGTAGAGGGAAGACACGACACCAGAGCCACCAAAACTGGTTCTCAAGGTTCTCAAGGCCAAAGGGATGTTTCACAATATTTTTAAAGTTTTTCAGTTGGCTGTGTTTCTTTAACTGTCACAGACATTCAGCCCTTTATTCAAGTATTTCTGTTATTGGAGTACATGGATGACCATGAAATCCTGAAGACGTTTGGAAGCCAGTGTATGCTCCAATGAATTCTTCTGGACTTCAAGCTGGAGATACGCCATTACCTCCCTTCCAGAATAGTGCAGATACCAATACAGTGTGTGATGTGTAGGGTTGTTATCAGCCACATGAAGTCCAGCTGGAGGCCAGTTACCATTGGTGTGCCTCAAGGTTTGATACTGGAGTCAGTACCGTTTAACATCTTCAGTAATGACCTAGGCGATAGGACAGCACGCACCCTCAACAAGTTTGCAGACAACGCAAAACTGGGAGGAGTGGTTGATACACCAGATGGCTGTGCTGCCATTCAGAGGGACCTTGAAGCATTGGAGAAATGGGCAGATAGGGATCTCATCAAGTTCAACACAGGGTGCAAAGTCCTGCTCCTGTGAAGGAATAACCCTGTGCATCAAGTGCACTCTGGGGGCTGACTGGCTGGAAAGCAGCTTGGCAGAAAAAAACGCTGGGGTCCTGCAAAGAAGTTGAACATGAGCCAGCAATGTACCCTTCCAGCAAAGAAAGTCAACAGCATCCTGGGCTGTGCTGGGAAGAGCATTGGTAGCAGGTCAAGGGAGGTGATCCTTCCCCTCAACTCAGCACTGGTGAGGCTGCATCTGGAGTGTTCGACCCCGTTCTAGACAATCCAGTACAAGAAAGATTTGGAGCAAGGCTGGATCCAGCAAGTCCAAGGAAGAGCCAAAAAGATGATTAAGGAACCAGTGTATCCACCATATGAGGAGAGGCTGAAGGACCTGGGACTGTTTAGCTTCAAGAAGAGGAGGCTCAGGGGGATCTCATCAATGCATACAAAGCCCTAGTGGAAGAAAGTAAAGAAAACAGAGCCAGACCCTTCCCTGTGGTATTCAGTGAAAGGACCAGAGGCAATGAATGGAAATATAGGCACAAATGGAAATATAGGAAATTCTGTTTAAAAATAAAGAAAAAACTTCCTTACGGAGAGGGTGGTGAAGCACTAGAACCAGTTGCCCATTAAGGTTGTGGAGTCTCCATCTTTGGAGATACTCAAAACCTGATGGGACAAGTTCCTGAGCAGCCTGCTCTAGCTGACCCTGCTTTGAGCACGGGGGGTGGACTAGATGATCTCCAGAGCTGCCTTCCCACCTCAGCTGTTCTGTGAAACACGGTGTGTTTCTCAGCCAGGTGGAGCATTGTATCCTGGGACTTCCAGCTTTTTCAGGCTGCACCTTTATAGCCAAGAGGAGAGCAATGTCAAACTACTTCAGTCCATGCAAATGTAAGGATGTAAAGTTTCAATTCTTACACATCAGTAATGCATCCTTTGGTTGGTCAAAATCTTCCTTCTTGAGTTTTAAATCCTTTTTTGCTCATTCACCATCGATTCCAACAGAATGGGACTGGGCAGTGAAACAATGTGTTGACATTATTTTAGCAGTCAGTTTTGCTTCTCTTATCCTCCTCCTAACATCGTATTCCAGGGAAAGAAGGGAGGTAAAATTGGGCAAATTCTTCCTTTGATCTCATATTTACCCTTTTTCTTTATCCATAACCAAGATGAACAGCACAGCACAGGAAAAATGAGCTAACATAATGCTGCATTTCCACGCAGATGATTATTCCTAGCAATGATGCTGGGTAAGAGAGTGATATATGATATGGCATTCCACTTGCACAGTTAGAAGTTGGAGGACAGGGACGGTGGTGTCTTGGTTGTTTTCCTTCCTCCAGGAAATTCCTTAAAGATCGCTGCCACGTGCTGCAATCTGGTCCCTTCATAAGCCAAGGAATTTCTGCAAGGTGCCTTAGCAAATCCAGGGATAAATCTTCACTGGCAGCATCAACTAAAGATGAACTGGGCTCCAACAGAAGATGCACACTTACCACCATCTTCTTCTTAAATTGATGACAGAACTTTAATAAAAGGCCATCCAGGAGTCACCAAAAGCCAATTTCAGCACATGTAGCACTGAAGCGATTTCAGCAATAGAAGTTACCCAGAAATATATATTTCCTTACAAAAAATAAGTCACCAGAATTTCCAATTCATGTATGCAATATCCAATTTGTGTATCTGATTAACAACATGTAAAAAACCCCCAACAATGGGAAACACAGGATTAATCTTCATTAAAGCTTTGTGTCTAAAGAAAACCATGTTTGAATATGCTGAAAATTTGTTCTGCTGGAGAGAAGACATTGAACATCTGGCTATTTCCGAGAAAAGCAAAAGGGCTCCCTCTGGAGTGGATTCCGAAATTAACACAGGATTCAGATTTTAATAGGCGGGCAATGAAAATGAAAATCAGTAACAAAGCAAATGCATTCTTGTCTCCTGTTAGTTTACTCATCCTGTTTACAACGAGCATACTGGGATTAATTCAAGGAGACTATATCATGACTGAATGATATGGATCCATGCCCAGAATATTAAGTCATTAATTAGTTTTCATGCATGGACTTGTATGTGGCAAGGAGGCAAATTAAAGGATTCCTGAAGAGACAAGAAAGCTTTCTTGGCATGTAAAATACTCCAAAGAATTTCCAACAAAATAAATTATGAAGCCAGCTGAGAATCCACATTTTCAACCCTGGATGGTCATGCACAATTCCATAAAAACCTAATGAATACAGCCACCGGTTGTGTACCCATGGCAATAAACATAATTTGAAAAGGAGAGAGGAATAACTTTACGGACATATACAAAAACATGCTCTACTGGAAACTGATAAAGGCTGCTTTCAAATTTACAAGTGAGAAAGACCCCATGTTCCCATGGTTTATTTGCACACAAGCCAATTAACAGAAAATTGTTTTCATGCAGAAAGAAAAAAAGAGTTAGATCACCTACAAAGTGAAGTCAACTTACTGCCTGCTTTTGCTCTTCTTCCTGTATATGTTGGCAAAAGAAAAAGGTGAAGAGAGAAACAGGATAGATTAATTATCATATGAAAAGGAAACACACACACAAAATGCACAACAGACCCAATGGAAGAACAGAGCATGGCAAATTGTAGAAACATCTGCAGACACTAAAGGAAACAAGGACGTTAGACACAAGAGCCGTGGTGGGAAAGCAAAGGTGCCATTTGTTCCACTCTCAGAAGAAGACTCTTGTCTAAAATGGCCTTCAGTGTTGGGATGGATATCACAGTATGGATATCTTGGATATAGGATAGGATATCCAGTGGATATCTTTTCTTTTATGCAAAACCTTTACTGGCTTCTCTTCCTACCCCGGACTCAGAAATGCCTCCCTAGCTGTCCTCAAGGCAAGCAATATCAGACTACCGTCCTCTGAAGTCTGGAAACACCATCTGGAGTGTGCAACCGCTGCACGGCATTCGGTTCCCTGCGTGCACAAATCTGCCACCGCAGAGACCCAAACCGTCATAACCTGAGAGGCAAAATATCACCTTTTTGGTCAGAGAGTGCCCGTTGCCACCGGGCCTGCAGGGACCTCTGCAGATGGGATTCAAAAGGGCAAAGTAACGAGCGGCGGGCACGCGGGTCTGGAATGGGAGGGGAGAAACTGGGAGGTAAAAGCACCAAAGATGCGGAGTAAGGACGAAGATGCAGAGAAAACATTTTCCTTTGCTGCAATGCAACGTTTGTCAGTGCGGATCACTACTAATTTGAAAGACCAAAAAAGGCAAAATATGGATGAATTTATTCTCTTTTGAAGCAGAGAAACATACACTGTGATCCTGCTGGGGCAGTGGGGTCACATTCTGACTTCAACTATATGAGCATTCCTAGGAACGAGCAAAATATCACACAGTTGAGAGTTTCTTTCATAATTCAAAAGTTTTCATAGATTTTGTCCTTGCATATATAACCACCATTATGAGTCCTGCGGGCTCTTCTGTCTGCGGGCTCGGTTGTGTGGAGAAGCACGGCAGTTGTGGTGCAGGTAGCAACACTGTGCATTAAGAGAAAGGCTGGCAGCATGTTTTTGATGACTCTCATGTACGCAGAAATAGCAATTACAGCTTTTTTAGGGTCAGTGTGTGTCCCCTCCCACGGTGGCTTTGCAGGGACTGCCAGTGCGGAGGGCAGCAGGACCACTGGTCAGCACGTCTCCCCAGAAATTCAGGTCATGGAATTAAAATTCACGGAATAAAAGCTCCTTCTGGCCTTGAAATCCATGAACTCATTTATCCACCTTCCCTCATTTATTTCCCGTCTGAGCAGGATTAACCTGAACCTGTCCCTTAATTTAGAGCAGCTTCTTCTCACTGACCACTGCACTAAAAGATGGTTTCCTAACTGTGCGCCGAGGGCACTACAGAGATATCTGGGAACGACTGCAGAGCATTCCACGTTCCTGAGCAGATACTTTCGTTTTTTTCTCCCAAGACTTGGTGTTCTTTCAGGTGCGTATTTCGGCACTGGGGTAGTGGATGCAGGGTATGGCCCCGCTGAGCCGCGGCTCAGCGTCAGCTGCGGAGGCCAGTGCTGCCCTCCCCACACTCCCACACGTTCCCAGTTCCTCCTACCGGCACTGGGACTCGCAGGACCAGACGGTAAGCCAGGTCAGGGGTAAGATCTTAAATGATCTCCACTCTACAAAAAAAGTTGTTAGCTTGAAAAATGAGGCTTTAGCATTAACTACAGATGTGAAAAAAAATCTCAGGAGGCGTGGAGCTTTGCTAGAAGGACTGCGCGGTTATTAGATAAATCATCAAATCAGCTAGTGAGGAAATTACCATTGAGGAAATGGGAAAAGTGAAATGGGATATGTCTGCTGAATATCCGTTTAGCTGAAAGGAAAAGCCCTGCATGACGGCAGACAATCATCACTGCCGACTACTTATTAGAAGAGTGCCAGCTAATGGCACTAGGTGTATTACAGAAGACTTCGGGAGAAAAGGGAAAGCTAAGCCAACGGCCTGGATGAGGAAAAGAGGATAAAAAATATTGGAAGAAAGTCGCTGACGACAGTACTGATGGGTCACTGGCCACCGTTCAGCCCAGACGGACAGGCTGCCCTCACGTGCAAGGGGCTTGATCTGCTTAACTAAAGACTGGCTGGAGCGGCCAGGAGGACAAGAGATTAGCAGCCAAGGGGAGCCCTACGGTGGCCACTGCAGCAGCCCTGCAGACTCAGAGGCTACAGTATCAAACACAATTGTGCAAGGGCCTGTCCTCTGGCATGATCTGCACACGTCCATGCTGTTAAAACCCCTTATCACCCCAATTGGGGTGGCCTTATGCAAACTGCCCCCCAGGAACGGGTCTGGGCACCTGAACACCTCTGGGTGGTGGTGGGAGGTGGTTTGGGAAAGCACTGGTAGCTCTGACCCAAAGGCACGTCTGCGACCACGCCAACAGCAGAGCAGGTAGGTAAGTGCCTGTCCAAGGAACGCGGTCTGGCACTGACGAGCTCACCCGGACGGGTACAGCTGCACTCACAAGTGCATGGGACAACACAGCAGAAGATACCGATGACAGCACTTAGTGAAGAGCTGCATGACCAGAACTCCTCCTTCGGGGAAAACCAGCAACAAATCCCTGTAACTGAAACCTCCTAACAGGAGCGTCAACACATGTCAGCAGTAAGATGTGGGAGGACACTCGATGCAAAACCCAACCTTAACTCTAAATTGCAACGGCGTGGGTGGGTCACTGTGCGGGCTAATAAACATCAGAGCAGGACACTAATCACTAATCAGAGGTTTTGATCACCTCTGCACTAGCAACCAGAATAGTCGAGGGCCTTTCTCGGCTCTGAGGCCAACTATCACAGCATGGCTCGCCATGGGAAAAATGGATGAACCTCCAGAGAACAACCATCTCCTTCCAAAACCAGGCTTTCCTCTCTCTCCTTTTTTTACAGAGGGAGCTGAGGTACCAAACTTTCAGATAACCAAAGTTAGCTAAGCTGAATCCAGCTCTAAATGGTGAAATGAAGGCAGCATTAAAAATGTAAAAAATACTGCATAAGAAAATGGAAAAAACCATAAAAGCTTAACAGCTGATGTAAATTATAAATGAAAATTTTTGAACTGCACCAAATGATGAGAGAAGCTAAAACTTTGCGGGAAAAATTCATGTCTGGCCTGACTAAAACCACCAAAAAGGAGACTTTGAAATGAACACAAATACCAGAAACAAAACAAAGCCTTGAGGTGGTGTGTACTGCTTCTTGATAGTCATGGTAAAATTCTTAATATGGGAAGAGGAATTAGTACTTCTGTTCTGTGTTTGACTAATAGTACTTTCCCCTTATAGTTTCTACCAGCAAACAGTGAAGTACTTTCCACTAATTATGATAAAAGGTGTTAAAAAGTATCTACTAGGAATAATATTTTTAGATCAGCAGGCCTGGGTAGCTTGCAGCTGGGATTCTTAAAATAATTACATGAGGAGTTATACGGTCCAGTGAAAGTAATCTTTAATAGATCTTGGAATACCCAGGACGGGAATGTGCTGTGTTGCACTGATATTCAAAAAGGGAGGTAAGACAACTTAAATAAGCATAAACATCCTACCCTGTCATTAATTTATTCAAAGTAACAGAAATGCTGATACAAGACTCAACTAATAAGTAATATACGAAGCATTATAACTTAACGGAAAAGACGTCTTGCCAGATAAATCTGATTTTGTTATTTGAATGTATTACAAGTTTGGCCTCTAAAGGAACTGCACAGATGTAATATATTTTCGTATCTGCAGTTCCTTTAGAGGCCAAACTTGTAATACATTGTGATTAACCAGTTAGCACTATACAAAATAAACAAAGCATGGGGTAAGATCTGGATAACTGACAGCTTTCAAAAAGCACTCACTGGTGCAGAAAGGCACAAAAAGGAAAACAGCGATGAAGGGTGACGAAACTCCTCCTGTAACTCTCTGCAAAGTGTTGCTAAGATTCAGAGAAGAATTCAACGTACAGGTGTTTTTTTTTTTCCCAATTTAAAAAATTATATTAAAAATCTGGAGAAGGCAAAGAAATCAACCATAAAAAATACTGAAGTACAATACTGTGAAAAGCTCAGAAAAGCTCTACCTGTTTAGCTGATTTAAAAAAGAAGATTGAGAAGTGCCTTCACTGAGATGAGTAAGTAACTGCGTAGGAAAAAAAACAGGGGTGCTGAAGTACTTCTTAATTTAATGGAGGGAGAACCACATGTACCAAAGCCAATGGGTGTAAACTGAAGCTAAATACATTAAAACTGAAAACGAGGCATAAATTTTTAACTGTGCAAGCAAATTTGCATTGGCAGTGAATTTTCCATTTTTGATTTCTTCAGTTCAAGAACAGATGTCTTTCTGGAAGATGCTTTAATCAAAGAGAAGCTGCCAGGCTCCATAGAAAGCTAAGAAGGAGAAATGCAAAGAACCATATTATGCAACATGTAGAACCAAATAATTACGATAGTCACAGGCTCGTAGGATAACTCAGGTTGGAAGGGACCTCAGGCGGTCTCAAGTCCAGCCTCCTACCGGGAACAGGGTCAAGTGAACTTTCTTGAACAGGGTCAAGTGAAATTTCTTTTCTGAAAGAGTGGTTAAACCTTGGACCAGGCTGCCCAGGGAAGTGGTGGAGTCACCATCCCTGGAAGTATTTAAAAAACGGGTAGATGAGGCGCTTAGGGACATGGTTCAGTGGGCATGGGGGTGTTGGGTTGATGGTTGGACTCGATGATCTTGGAGGTCTCTTCCAACCTTAATGATTCTATGATTCTATGAAGTGAATCTCAGACCAGGTTGCTTAGAGCCCTATCCAGTTGGGTCTTGAAAAACCTCCAAGGACGGAGACAGCACAACCTCTCTGGGCCCCTGTTCCACTGCTCGAGCATCCTCACGGGGAAGAAGTTTCTCCTTATATCCAGTCCTATTGGCCCTTACAGTTTTTAAACAATTTTGGGAACTGGGAGAGTTAATTAAAAGACACTAGATTTATAAATGAAAAGTCTAGTAAGAGCCAGCTTCTAAACTAACCTTCTGTTTAATACAGTCTAGAAGATTTCATTAAAGATTCTGTCAAGCTCATAATTGAACTGCATGATTCAACTTAGCGAATGGGTCCTAAAAACATTACTTTATCACATGTGAGTCAGCTACGGTTCCCTTCCCTCTGCTGCAATCCTCTTTCCTCCCTCCTATGTCTCCCCAGCTGCAGCACCTGCCGCTTGTGCTCGTGCTCTCTTCCCTCTGCCATACCCTGCAGTAGCCCCCGTGCCCTCCTCATCGCTGTCTTACCGACACCGATATCCTCTGCTGCTCCACGCAATGCCACGTTCACGTGTCCGGCCAGTCGGGCAAGAGGAAACACACACTGTTTGGGCAGCTGGGAGATGCGAGTATGATGGCCAAGCAGGCAGAGGCGGCAGGCGTGCTGCCTGCCTGCGTTTTTGCCTGGTGGGTGGGCAAAGCTCTGCAGGTTGCTCTGCAGCCCGCGTGTTGTACAGCTTCAGAGCAAGACGGTCCACCTGGCCTCCAAGGCTTTCGAGGTGGAAGAGCAGAAAGCCAGGCCAGACGACAGAACAGCCGTTCACCCTAATGAGATGACAGCATTTACACCAGGTCGTGTTTGGGAGAATTAATGTGTGAAGGCTTATGAGTGCTTTGAAAATAATAGGGTCTACAGAAAACTCACACCAGAGCTTGTCACCATGTTAAAGGAGATGTCCAAACTGACTTTGTTGTAAAGAGGCTTCTCGAATGTGTGCAAGAAAAAGTTTAAAACGCTCAGACTGTGGCCATCTGAACCACGAAGAATCAAACTGTTTCTGATGCAATGACTTTTTATACTTTCCTAAATCTGTAATTCAGTTTTGGATGCCCATTTTCAGAGATATCACACTTCAACTTACAAAGGTTTCGAGTCTGAAGAAATAAAGGTGAATTTATCAAGTGATTGTCTTCAATATTTTTAACAGGCCGAACAGGAAAAAATTACAGTGTGCAGAACCAGACTTAAAAAAACCCAATTACTTCCCAAATACTAATACTAACGATGTGCTCATCTGCACAGGGAAGCTAAATAAAACAGGCACCTCTGAAGAGTATTCGATCATAGCCTCTTGTATATATATTCTTATTCGAGAATGCAAGTCTAATCTGAAGGCTGACTGCACTTTAGATTTACAGGCGATGTGAATTCATTATCACTTTCAAGTGCAGACAGGCTCTAAATTTTTCTGGAAGATGTGCCTAACCTATAGATCTGTTAATCTATAAATCCCCGCGCTGCTCCTGTCAGGTCATTGCTGTGGTCTCTCTCCCGCTCCTTCCATTGCCTATAGTATCATTGTTGCTTCTCGTCTTAGACCAAAACCTCTTTGAGTACGGACAATGTCTTGCCGTTCACTTTACAGAGAGGCTCTTGTCCAATTTAGAGAACGGAAAGAATAAATGCATAATAGTATTTCAGACTATAGTCATCAACTACGAGCTCAACTCTAGCAGGACTCTATAAAAAAACAAAAGGACCCTCATCAGAAGTCCAAACAATAACAGGTACTGTAGATCAGAGCCAACGCCATCGTACTCCACAGACATCGCGGGGTTAGCATAATACCACCTGGTGAAACACAGCACCGTGCCCCTGGGGAGTCGTGTTCTGTATTGCAGTGAACACAGTTTCCAGTTTATTTTCCAGTTAAAGTTGGAAGAACTGAATTATTACCCGGAACAGCATGCAGCTGATTACCAAATCAAATACTTCTTTAAAGCCTTCCAAATCTTACGGGTTCTTGATATTTTAACCAAAGCAGCAGCCTGTGAACCTGAATACCCATTACCATCGGCACCAATACGCAGAGCCAGTACGGAAATGACTTTTTGCAAATTCCTTCTATTCCTCGTGAAGTATTTATAACGGTACGACAGCAAGGCAGGAATCTCGGAGCAGCAACAGTGAATTCCTGACCTGGGGAAGAGAAGGATGCACTGCATTTCTGACAGGAGATGGCTTACTTTGAGCAGTTTCATCAGCCCTTCAAGCTGCACCATCAGTTCTCTTCTGCTTTCTTGAAGTGCAGACATCCTCTGCTCTAATTCATCCTTTCTCTGTCTGTTCAAATTACATGAAAAAAAAGAGTCACAAAATAAACATTGGGTATTGCAAAACCACTTCAGGAAATTCACCCATATAACTGTGTCTTTGGTTTTCATCACTCCCCCCCGCTTCCAATTTAAAAAAACAGAGCAAAGTACAGTACAATGACCATGAAACCTATATATAACAATCAGGCTTTTCACTTAAAATCCAGAAATCAACGCTCAACACCTTGGTAGTAGGAAGCCCTTTTCAAGAGCACTGCATTTTGAGAAAAAAACCACACTTTTTTCTTCCTTTTCAGAACTCTTTTAACACCAGACCCTCCCTCCTATGGGAGGAAAGACAGACAGAAAAAAAAAAAAAAAGAGGAGAAAAGGCTGCAGATGTTTGGAAAGGAAAAGCTATCACCTGTCTGGATGGAGACTGGGCAGAGCTATTTCTGTCCACCAGTGTGACGCATAATCTTTGACATATCTGCTGTACCAGAACCCAGGTAACAAGAAAAGGAGATAAGAAGTGACCTTCCCTTTCCTTGGCATCAGAAAACCACTGTATTTCTACAGATGCCTATCTGTGAGATATTTAAGGAAATACGACTGGTTTTATTTTCTATTTAAAAAAAATAAAGAAGTGACTAATATAAGGAGAAATTCAAAGATGAACTGTCCACATGTCAGAAGTTCAGTATCTTATATGATTTAAGAAATGCTGGGCCCCACAAATCACAAAAAAACCCCCAGATTAGACAGGCTTATTTATTCATCTACTGTTATTTCTGTGAACATAATAATGTCTTAATCCAAAGATAAAGGCACCACATATCATAGACTGAATTTTTAAATGTCTTAGATTCTATCTATGTTCTCATGTGATATACTACAGATAAATCATTCTGGGAATTTTAATAACCAACTAGTTTTAGAAACACCAATTGGACATCAGCATCTGGAAGAGAAACAGGCCATTTACTTAGTCTGAACACGTCTGTTGAGCATGGCTTGCTTTCATTGTGGTGACGTGAAAATGGCATACCATAAGCATACACCCCAACCAGAAAACTGCTAAGACAGCGTAACAGAATTAACTTGTTTCTACTCTGGTTCTTGAAAGGACAGATTAACTATCCTGAGTATCTCTTTCAACACCTTTTTGTATTTTGAAGAATGTGGTTATTAAATGCTGGAACATATAACAAAAATAAGGCAATAAAGAGAAGATTACACATGCCTGGTCACCTAGCATGTGTTAAAAACCCACCATGGACATAGCTTTATCTGTCTATACGGTCCTTTTTCTCTCTCTAGGTCAGTTCAAAGTCCGTAGCTTTTATCCTATAGTTATTTAATATAACACTCTGGTTAACAACTACAAATAATGTAAAAATCAACATATTAAATAAGTATAGCTCTCCAAATGTAGTTGTTAATGAAGAATCAACATCAACGCGTATGTCTGATTTTGGCTGATGTTATTCAATTTCTTCTTCAATGACCTCCAGTGAAGAAAGAGGAGGTACTGTTTGTCAAGGACAAAGGGTGTTAAATGCTTAAAAAAAAAGATATGACAGCCCCTAGGGACAAGTGGAGAGATGCCGTTTGAGGCATACGCCTGGGGCAAACGGCTCCCTGGCACCTGGGTATGAACGAGCATCCTGTGGACTTGCAAGCAGAAGCAGCCAAGCCCACCTGCGTTACAAGGCAGGGATCTGCAAGGACGACGGATCCAGCCGTGCTTTTTCCAAGGTTACTCTTGCCAGCAGCGTGGTAGAGCTGGCTCATCTTTACGGGCTGTGTTGTCTGCAGATTTTTAAACCTGGGACACGCTGATTTTCCATGGATTACCTTTCTCATGCTTTCACAGCCTAAATTCTACACAGCAACTGAGATAATTTGGTAACACGTGCTTAGATATAATCCAAGGCAAGGTCATCGCATAGTGCTCACGCAGGCTTGGGGAACGTCTCCTCGCTAGCTGTGACTTCGTGAAGTACTTTCGCATCACAGATAACCTGCTAATTGTGAACTTCCAGTGTGATGTTATGCAGTCAAGAAAACGAATGTGCATTTTGAATTTATTAATGAGAGTGATGTTTGGTGGTAAGAAAGCCAACACTAGTTCTATCTATAGCACCAGTGAGACCACGTATGAGATACTGCAGCCAGTATACTCCAGCCTATATATAGAAGAGATGCAGAGGACTTGGAGAGAACCTGACAGCAAGCTAAAGGGGTAGCTGGAGATCTGGCAAACCTGCTTTATGGAGAAACTGAAGAAGTTCAAGCTATTTACGCAAGATGAGGTTAAGAGGGGAGGGAATCAAAATCTCTAAATACTCACACACAAAGAGGAATTTTGAAAAAGGCCTTTTTAGCCCAGTAGACAAAAGCACGGGGAAACACAAGGTTTGGAAAACGGCTCTAGGCTTATGAAGGTTAGAAATAACGTGCACACTTCTAGTCCACTGAGCACAGACGAGGCACAGAAATTAACTGATGATCACATTAACAGTGTCGGGGGACATGGTGTTCTTTCCATCTCTAAAATGAAAGCCTGAACGTCTGTCTTGCATGGATGCTGTAGCCCGGTCAAAAAGGGTTCTGTAGGAGCGCTGCAGGGAGAAATTTCCCAGCCTGTGTTACATAGAAGGCCAGACTGGACAATCATGATGACTTGACAGGCTTTACATGCTTAATTCAACCTTTTTTTTCTTTCGTAACTCTTCTATTTGCCAGTGGTGTTTGCATATTTGAAGGCCAGAAATGGCTACAATGATCATTCACCTTTTTTCTCTTCAGCAAAATACAGGCCCTCTAATTCCTCCTGGTTAGCTCCGTTTTGTTCCCAGTAACCTGTATTTTTGGAA